GCACCGTCCTTCAGAGCCCTGCACAGTCAAGTGTTCCCAGGTCCTCCACCAGGGACAAAGGTACAGCGCTGAGCTCCTCCTCGCTCGCAGGTGTGAAGACCCCCTTGTGGAAGAAGGAGCTGGAGGAGCCTTGCGCCAAGGAGGCGGCTCAGGAGAAAGAGGAGGAGAGGTCTGAGGAGGACGAGGAGGATGTGACCGCAGATAGCGCGGCAGAGGTCGCGGAGGAGACGCGCCAGGCGGAGGTGGAAAGCCGCGAGCGGCTCTCGGTGTCCTACTCCCCGCTGCGCCAGGAGTCCAGCACCCAGCAGGTGGCGCTGCTGCGGCGCTCAGACAGCGGCTTCTGGGGCTGGTTCAGCCCCTTGGCGCTGCTGGGCAGCCTGGCTGCTCCTGCCGAAAGGTGAGGATGCTCCTTGGCCCCGCACCAGGACCCGGGTGCTGAGCCCCAGGGAGGATGGAAGGCCCAGGGCACTGAGAGCTCGGGTTCCCGGCCGCAGGAAGCGAAGCCTTCCGGAGGAGCCGTGCGTGCTGGAGACGCGACGGTCTCCGCGCCTCGGGGGCTGTGCGCGCTGCGAGATCCTTTTTTGCAAGAAATGCAAGAGCCTGCACAGCCACCCGGCTTACGTGGCGCACTGTGTTCTGGAACACCCGGATCTGGGTAAGGCGGAGACGGCTGAGGGCTCTGAGCAACTCCGCTCTCAGCCTGTGTCCTCCAACCTTGCCTAATGTCAAACTCCCTGCAACCTTCTCTACCGCGAAGCTAGAGCCCCCTCCAGCATGATCCACAGAACTACCCCTTCTTCGAGCTGTACCCAGAGCACCCCACTCCGGCAAGAAGTCCCACTGTAGGTGAGGGGTTTTCACCTGTCATTTAGCGGGGCTCTAGGTTATGCTGGGCTCTGCATGGGGGGGACTCTGTATAACCCAGAACCCCATTACTCTCATAGTGCTCTCGAAGGGCTCCGGCCCTCAGGGAGCACCCAGCCTTCACCACCACCTGATTCACGTTCCCGACACAGTTTCACAAGCATCTCTTTCAGGTTCTTCTAGCCTGGTGAGCAGAGGCATCTCCTAGAAAAAGTACCCTCTGGTTTTCCTCATCCCTCAGAAAAGTTGCCCCTTTCCCCTCAAATCATTCAATAAAGCCTCTAATCAAAGTGTCAGTGCCTTGAGAGGGGGGCGAGGTGGCTTTAAATAGGAGTAAGGAAGATGAGACACTCTTTCCCCTCCCTGGGTTCAAGTCAAGAGAGAAGGCTGGCAGGGAGCCACCTCTCTCACCTCCCCGGGGCATAGTAGCACAAGGCCCTTGAATCCAAGGGCAGTCAAAGGCCAATCTCCCCACCGCACAAAGAAGACAGGCAGGCGCAGGGCCAGCAATGCCCCTCGGGAAGGAAGGGAGGAACCCTCCCAGACCATTCTCCTCTCCCCTGGAAGCTGTTTGCCCGAGGTCAATGTGCGTGCAGATGAGGCATTGGCAGGTGTGGAGGGAAGGGAGGAGAACTAGATGCTAAAATAAATGCTGAGACTGGCTGAAGCAGAAGATGGAGGCTGGGGAGTTGGTTTCTTCTCCAGGAATCCCAGCTATTCTTGGCCAGACAGCAGGAGCTCTGGGAATGCTGTGTGTGTGGCCTGGAGAATGGGGCCATTGTGAGCACTAAACCTCCCCCAACCTGCAGAACCCTTTTGGAGGCTGCATCCTGAGCGCCAGCAGCAGTGCAGCAACCCCACCCCCCCCACTGTAAGCCCTCTGACTTCTCCCTGCTGCAAGGGTTCTCTATCTCAGGGGTGTTTGTGTGTGTGGGGGGGGATGAGTACATTTTGCTTTTTGAGGAGAGGCAGAAGCCCCCATTCACATGTAGCTGGCTGGCCCAGGCTTGGATAGAAGAGCATTATACTACAAATTTGATATACACAGTAGAGACTGCTATAGTCCATCTTTCTTACACATCTGCCGTCACTGGAAAGGATGGAAGAACTGGTTCAAGGAATGCTGCTTCCCACCTGCAGGCCCACCAGCTGGGGATGACACTGTTTATTCCTGCCCCAGACAAAAGCCTTGGAAACCCATAACAAATCTCCCTCTTGTTCTACATCCTGAACCCCCAATGGGCCCCTGAGGTTAGAGACCCTGTGCCTTCACCCCATCGGAACTTACTGGGGTGAGATCTGAATAAATAAGACACACTACAAGAACTGAGCCAGGAGACCCTAAGAAGAAGGGGTCTAGCTTTGCATCCCTCCTGGTCAGATCCCAGTGCTGTCTCCTCGCAGACAGAACAGAACCATTAGCAGAAGAATCAAAATCTCTGAGGCTTGGGAATGAAAGAGGTCCTCGGTGGGAAGAATTGTGGGATCTGGGACCCTTTTTTTCCTTCCCCTTGGATTGATCGCACCCCCACCTCCATGTAGTGGGAATAGCAGTGTTCTCCAAGGAACAAAAGCACACAAACTTCCTGATGAAGATTTTGCGGCTCAGTCTTCTGCAGGGAGGCGGGGGCTTCCAGGTCAGGTTCTGTCCCTGCATCTGGGATGTGAATGGACCCTCAAGGCACCGAGGGTTCATTAGGTGATGAGTTGCCTTCAGAACAGGGTGCCTCCCGAGTTGGCATGCCAACAGCCCATCCAGGGCAACTCAGTGGCCCAGCGGCCTGAAGCAGTCACTCGAAGTTTGGTTTGGTCCAGGTGCCAGTAGCGGTCATCTCTGAAGAAGATGATAGAGCCATCTTTCCTTGGCAAGGCACCGCTGACCTCCTCAGGGACACCCTTCCAGTCCTGCAGACTGCGGGGGTAGTAGGGTTCCACTTGCAGTCCACCTTGGGCCAGCACATAGTAGCGGGCACCCTTGAAGAGGATGAGGCGGTGCAGAGGAGGGAAGAAGAGGGCTGCATCGGGATGGCGGGGCAGGCCCCCTGCCCGGCACAGCAGTGAGAAACCCCACACTGACTTGGAGCCCCGGAACCTCCAGCATCGACTTCCTGTCGGGCATTGAGAAAGACAGGGTGAGCTGGAGCCCATTGGTCCCACCCATTGGTCTTCACTCCTTTGCTGTCTCCCTTCTTCCACTCAAGTTGAAGCCCAAGGTTGTTGGTTAATGGGGGCTACCAAAATGGATCATGCTACAAGTTAGTTATATACTGTAGGGGAGGGACTGCTATAATTTAGGCTTCCAGCAGGTGTCAGCAGAGAGCCAACAGCCCAGAATGAACCTATCAATTTGCTCTTGCAGGGAGAGCAGGCTGGAGCCTGGAGCCTGGAGAGGGGGCACGGTCCCTTCCCTGGGGGAGGAATGGAACATGGGGAAGTCTTGGAACTTTCTTCACATCTACTAATTCTAAAAGGCAAGGGTTTTTTTGTTGTTGTTTTTCATGGCCACATTCCTGACACTTCCAGTGTTTTGACACATAGAAGGGCCTCCACATTGGTTTAATGAATGAAGGAAGGAATGAATACTATCTACTAAAGAATTATGACATATCTAGCAATATACTGCACACTCCTGACCATTATTTTTATCCTCTTTCCCCCCCAAAATGTCTTATTTTCCCTATTGAAGGAATGCAAGCTCTAACAATTAAGTGACAACCCCAATATCACACAGGATTCCTTAGAAGACACCATTCTTTCTGGAATGGCAGAGCTCAATAGCAGTCCTCTGCTTCCCTTTAGACTCTTCTCTGAAATGCTCCCCAGGACAACTTTGACACCTGCTGCTCTCCACTTCATCACTGAAAGGAATTTCCTGGTAGCATATTCCTGGGGTCACTGGTTCATTGTGGGGTAGACTTTACCAGAGACTCATTGGATGAGTCTCCTCCCCTCTCTAAGCCTCTATTTTCTCAGTTGCCTCAAGGTTGATACCTTTGAAGAAGTAGAAGTCTCCATCCTCCAATGACACTGCAGCAGCCTCAATGTTGGGAGGCAGCCCGGCCCACCTGTCCTGTAGTGGGCGGGGCTCTGAGACATTGCCATCAGGTGTCACCTCCCAGAAGTAGCTCCCTTTAAAGATGTACACTTGTTGGTCCCCATCTGCTTGGAAACAAGAGAACCTTGAGGAATGACCATTGACCTCTGCCATGTTTCAGGGAAGGTATTATGAAGAACCC